GGCTCCACTACTTCAAGAGCCTGTACAAAGATATTCCCAAAGAGAAGCTAACTGTGGAACAAGAACACATCATCAGAAGACTAAATGAACTGGAGGAAAAAATCAAGGATTTCCAAAACCAATTAGATACAGCCTTTACACTCCGAGAAGTAGCAGAGAAAATTCAAGATATGCGAAGTAAAAAAGCCAGCGGGATGGATGGAATTCTTCCAGAGATGATGAAACACAGCTCCCAAGATGTACACGCCGCAATATGTAAAGTCTTCAACCTGTTCCTGAGCGTTGGGCTCTACCCTCAAGTATGGAACGAAGGCCCCATAACACCCATCCATAAGAGTGGAGACCAATATGATCCAGCCAACTACAGAGGGATATGTCTCAGCAGCATGCTGGGAAAACTGTTCAATAGTATTCTACACCCATCTACACCCTGCACAGTCTTATCAAGAACCATATCCACAATACAAACATGGGAAAATATTTGCCTGCTTGGTGGACTTTAAGAAGGCCTTTGACTCAGTGTGGCACCCAGGCCTGTTCCTCAAACTACTGGACAGTGAAATAGGAGGGAAAACCTATGACGTCATCAAGAGCTCATATAATGAGTATAAAGGTGAATGGGAAGAGAACAGAGTACTTCCGGCAGGCTCGTGGAGTTAGACAAGGCTGCAGCTTAAAGCAGAACTATGAGGCGAGTGCTTTTCACTCACCTCATAGTTCTAGCCGACCTGTGACAATGAGACTGTCACAGGTCGGCTCAGTAGATCGGGAAGTGAGCGAACACATACCGGCGTTCGCTCACTTCTCGATCCTGTCACAGCTACTTGCCGTGACGGGAGTGGCTGGATTCCCCCCTCCCTGCTCCGATCCTCCAGCGCTGACTGGCGGAACGGACGGGGGGAGGGGGCGGGTACAGCTGGCTCTGCCTCTAGATAGGCAGAGCCAGCTGTCACTCACGCAGCTGGGCGGATCCAGACATAATTGTTGGGATCCGCTTCAGCTGCGGCGTCTCAGTATACCGCGAGCTGTAGCTTGCGGTATACTGAGCTTAGGGTGACGGAAGGACGCTAGTTTGTGTCCTCCCGTTACCCTAAGGAGAACAATGGGGAAAAGCCCTAACCCCATAGTTCTCCTTTAAGTCCAACCCTCTTTAACATCTACATTAATGGACTGGCTGAAGCTCTCGAATCCTCCTCAGCACCAGGACTAGCTCTACATGACACCGCTGTGAAGTTCCTGTTGTATGCAGATGACCTCCTATTACGGTCACCAACAGAGAGAGGTCTACAAGACAGCCTGGAAGTGCTGGAGAAATACAGTGCAGCATGGGCACTACCCATCAACCAAAAGAAAACAAAAGTCACGGTTTTCCAAAGGAAGAACACAAAAACCAAGAGTTCTTCTTTCACACTTAACAACTGCACTCTCGATGAATCCAACAGCTACACGTACCTTGGCCTAGAAACAAACCAATCAGGAAGTTTCAAGCCAGCCATAGAGGCCTTAAGAGACAAGGCGTGTAGAACCTTCTATGCCATCAGAAGAAAACTCTACAAACTAAAACCACCTGTAAGAGTCTGGCTTAAAATCTTTGATAATGTCATCACTCCAATCCTCCTTTATGGCAGTGAAGTATGGGGCCCCATCACCTATCCAGACCAACCCAAATGGGACACCAGCCCAACAGAAATATTCCATCTGGAATTCTGCAAGCACCTCCTCCAAGTCCATTGGAGCACCTCTAACAATGTTTGCCGGGCTGAGCTGGGCAGATTCCCCTTACTTCTTGCAGTACAGAAGAGGACACTATCATACTGGGACCACCTAAACAACAGCAGCCCCAACTCATACCATCATAAAGCACTACTGGCCAACAAGGACTACTCCAAACCATGCGGGCTGCAACAACTCATCAGCACCTTGTCCATCCAAAGCTCCCATGAATGCAGCCTGACAAAACATCACATAAAAGGACCTAATTAATGGATTCCAGAGAAAACTATATCAGAGAATGGAGAAATTAAATAGCAAACTAACAGAAACTCATAATTTACCAATCATTACAGAGGGAATACAAACTGGCCCCATACCTGGAGATACTACAAGACCCCAAGGACAGACAAATCCTAAACCAGTACAGACTGAGCACCCACAGTCTTGAAATTGAATCAGGGGGCATAGACAGACCTACAGACCCTACTTACCCCTGGACTTACCAATTCCCCCCATATAATTCTGGAGTCCATCCCAAACTTTCAGAGTGTGTTTGAGAATTGGGTTATACAGATTCCCTCTGGTTGGGGGGGGGGGGTAACCAGGGAAGGTTGAGGAGAGATATCGGGGAGCATGAGTAAGCCTCCAGAGACACCCAAAGGGGCATTTCTGATTTCCCAAACCAGAGCACGAGAGGAGTCAGTTGTTGAATTGAATTTTAATTGAATTGATCAAGAGAGAGAGAGGGAGAGTATATATAAATGGAGAGGACAATGTAAGCTAAGTATAAAGTGTTAAAGTGACACTAAACTCAGGAGTTAAATCTTAGAAATGTATTCAAGTACCTGGACTATTAACAAGACTATTAACAAGACTATTATTATCTTATTTGTGCATCACTCGGCTGATCCTCAAATCATCTTTGAATTGGTGCCGACACTGTCCTTCCTTCTGGAGGGTGGCTACTTTTGTTCCCCATGGTCCCTGTGTGTGTTGTAAAGTAGCCTACACTCCAAGATCGCTCCCATGATGGACTACAATCTCAATACAAATTAGTAAACCAAACATGAGATTGTAATCCATTACGGGGGCGAGCTTGGAGTGGTGGCAACCACGGCTCATTTATCTGCAGATCAAACTTCAACTTAAAAAAGAAAAAGAAAAAAGTTTTTTAATATAATACTAAAATGTGTTCCTATTTAACCCTTTTTTTTTTAGGTGAGGCCCATTCACACCAAAACTGCATTAAAAAAGGCATATAAAACTTGCATGTGTTTACACGTGTTTGCATTTTTTTTTTTTTTTAAGGAAGTAACATCACTCCTACTTTTAAAGGAGAAGCATTTAATTTATTGCGGTGTGAAAAAATGCAGCCTGCTCTACTTTTTTTCTAAAGCGACCCACTGATGTGAACTACACCATTGAAAATCACTACTTTCTATGTACAGTAAACTCTGCGTTATCCAGCATCTACGGGGATTGGTAGACCTCGGATAAATATAGTTTCTGGTTGCTTGAAAGTTACTATTAAAAATAGGTCTAGCTAATGCCATACCCCATACTACACCATACCATAACATAAACTCTGTATTAACTTCATATTAATGTTGAAATGCAGAAAAAGACAAATAGACACACTTAAAACAAATTACGACAAATAGGCACATGATCGTTTCCAGGATAATACATTCCGCAGATCAGCAGAACAGTACACAAGAGGATTTTTTTTTCTGGTTAAATGAGAGTTCTGGTTAGTTGAATACCGCATTACAGAGAGTTTACTGCATATGCATTTTGAATGAAAAAACTCATCAAAACGCATTGGGTGGAAATTAATTCTTAGGGTTTAGGTTTAGCTGTTTTTTATTACATATTTTGTCTATAGAAAACCAATATATGTATTAATTTGTTAGCTTAAAGCGACATTATACCTTCCTTTTTTTAATTATCTTTTTTGTATGGTGGCCAGACTTGCTGAAAAAAAAGTTAATTTATCTTTAATTTTTTTAATTTCCTCGTTCTCTAGTGGTATCCAGACCGCAAGCCCGCCCGCCACCCTGTACGTGTGCCTCCAATAGCTAGCTGACTGCTGTGAAGGCACCCGTACGTGCATTATCACGGTCCCGCCCGCACCTAGCTGTGTGCGCCCATAGAGACAGTCGCCCATGCCCCCACCTTGCAGTCACAGCTTGAATGACAGCAGAAGGAACCTATGGCTCCTCTACCCCCAGTTCCCTCCCCCATAACCAGGAAGTTCGGGGAAACCCGTGTATCTTCCTGGTCGCGGTGGAGGAGACGAGCGGCTGCAGGTAAGTGTGGGGGGATGGGGTGTTTTTTGCCTTGATGCAGAGAAAGCAAAAACCACCTAGCCTTTAATACTAGTTTAAGTAATGACAATGTTATTGCCGAATATGCCAGGAGACAAGTAAAAACTTAAAGGAGGAGAACTGAAGGCAAAAACTCTTTTTTTTTTAGTATAACCCGTCATCTATTTTATGCCCTGTGGCTCCCCATTGGGGATATTTCCCTTAACTTCCTGTCCCAAAGCCACAACAGGAAGTGAGAGCAAATCCCCCCAGTGATCAGCAGGGTCACCAGAACCAGTTTTGCCACTGGAAGATTTCCCGTCTATTCCTGTTCTGATGACAACCCAAAATATGGATCTCTCTTTCACTTTCAGTTATAATCGTCATCAGGACAATTAGAGAGGGCGAATCTCCTTAATGGGGTTATGGACAGCAATTCAAAACCTGACAGGTGTTCTAGTCCCTCTCCACTCTATCCAAAAGTTAAAAAATAAATAAAAAAATTCAGTTGCACTTCAACAAAAATGTAAAAAATTATCTAAGGGGTATACAGGTGCAAGAGCTGAAGTGGTTAAAGATGCACTACCTACATTTACCATATGACCCAAGTACAATTACTTCTGCAAATTCTTTTCTCACGTCAAAAACATGTCATTCTCACATGCCAAGGTTATCTGAAAGCCAACCAGTATTACACAAGGAACTGGCCTGGGAGGTTTATCTTTAGTCATTTCCAACCGGCCAGTATCGCTTGTAATTCCAGATGACCAGATTACCTGTTGAAAAAAAAAAGATTCTGTTGTTCTTGACATTTGTGCGACTGCAGTTTTTTGTTGCCTGAGCTGTGCGTCCTATAGTATATCTGGATTGTGCATATCTCTGTACTGAAAACAATGGCAGGAGCAAGTTACAAGTACTGTAATTTGCACTTGGATTTCCGGTCTGCTTCTTGTTCGGATTGTGGTCTCCTACAACCAACACCTGTATGGGGAAACCTAGATAATGTAGATTCCAAAACATCCACATTCCGCCTGCTACTGCCGGAAGGTTTCTATGTAACAATATTTGTTATTATTTCTGCTGGGAATTCGGTTAAACTTTAACAAGGTAATCGCTGTCACCCTATTAACTAGTAACTGCAGTGTTCTAGCTCTCTGAATGCACGCTGCATGTCTTGACCTCTCTGAGGCTGAATTCTCATATAGCATTTGCGTTTCCTGCGCAGCACGTAAACGGTAAAATCTTTAATCTGGACGGATTCCGCTATTATATAACCACGAACGTGCGGTATCCGCCATAATATCATAGTTACATAGTATTTGAGGTTGAATAAAGACATAAGTCCATCAAGTCCAACCTATTGCGAAACATATCGTGATTGTACTATTTTGTGCGGTAAGAAACTGCCGCAAAAGTCTGAACAATGCACATTAAAGTGCATCGTTTTTTATGTTTAGAGTGGTCCATATGGCCGAATACGCGCGGACAACCGTTTCTGTGTGAATGGAGCCTTAGACAGTACAGACAATGAATATTAAAGAATGCAGGACTAAACAAAGACTGACCTAGAGGTTAGGCTTAGTTCGCACCAGAACCAATGCGTTTTCCCACGATGTTGCCGCGGTTTTAGTCTTTGTTGGGGCAGCTTTTTTTTTAACTTAACATGGGATTTCAGGTGCGTTCAGTTTGCATGCATTTTTTATGCATTCCATCGCGATCCGATGCAGCTAAAATAGTGCAAGCTGTACTTTTTCTGGCTGCATCAGAACAGACTATTCTGGTGTGAACAGAACACCAGAATCCCATAGGAAAGCACGGGGGTGCGTTTTTGATGCAGCTCAACAACAGAAAGGGCTGCATCTGGTGTGAATGGGTCCTTACAGGGGCAGAGTAAATATATCCTACCTATAATATTGTCAGAGCTTCTGAACCAGAGACTGCAGGTAATATGCAGAATATATATCACCACTGTGATTATGCTACCAGTGTAGATGAAATGGTGCTTTAAAGAACAACTCAGGGCAGAATAAAAATGAAGTCTAGCAGTGCAGCTATCCCTGCACTGGAGGGGTTAAGTGTTCGTTTTGGTCTGGGGTGTATAATAAGGAAGAAATTCTCACCCGATCCTCAGTCCTGCCAGGCTGCTAGACTGGTCCCCACAGCCTCTTGTCCCCCGGTCTCCAGTGGTTTAAGGACCATGTGAGGACGCCGAGGAACATTTCACAGCCGGAGCAGGGGGGGAGGGGGAAGAGAGGTAAGCGGTCACCAATGTGGGACTGAGGGTTGAGTGAGTGTATCTTTTTTGTTTTTGTATTTTTATACACTCTAGACCAAATTGAACTTAACCTTTGCAGTGCAGGGCTAGCCCCACTGCAAGGGTTAATTTTATTTTTGCCTGGAGATCTTTAAACTTGTCAGTTTGTGCTCTATGCATATGAATTCCCAACTAAACATTAATATCGCAAACTATTTAAAGAGACACGGTCGTCTTACCAAGTCATGGCGAAGTCAGAGTGTCTATGTAAAGGCCCCCCTCTGACCACTTATACATTCCTCTCCAGTGCTTCGCTATCATCCTGCCTCTGTGGCCACCACTGCCAAATACCTGGTCCTTATGGGTAAGGGAAAGCATGTCACTTCCACCCACGATGTAGTGCTGGGGTCTAGTGGACAATTGCTAAGCCAGAGAACTGCCACATGAGGGAGGGTGTGATGTAACTGCTCCCTTTCAGACCTGGATACCTTTGAGTATGGAGAAGCATAGGACTTATCACAAGAGGTTAAAGAGAACCTATTGCTTTCCACTGAATGGCCATGTTTTTGTAGAGTTAACCCATTTAACCTTAATGGCAGCCTATGCTTTAGACCAGTGGTCCTCAACCTGTGTAACCTCAAGACCCACATTTGTCCTTGGTCATTAAGTTGTGACCCAAGCTGCACTGCAATGGAACACCTTGTGGGCTGCTGTGCTGTGACGGCGCTCCATCCATATGTGCATCCACTTGTACAGCTTCCTTGCATGCTCTGAGGTTCCAGGAGCCAGATTATAATGCCACTCCAGTCCAGTGACCCTGTACGCTCACTCGCGTACAGGGTACGTGAGTGAGCTGTAAGCAATGCAAGTATGGATGGAGCTCCCTCGTGGCCATACCTCCAGCTCACCCCACCTCAAGCTGACACTCAGCACCGCGCAGCATATTTTGAATCACTGCTTGGCGTGAGAACTGACAGCCCTGCACTAGGGGGAGGCTGAGGAGCCTATAAAAGTGGAAGGCACATGGGGACCCACTGAACACAGGGTCGCGACCCACTTTTGGGTCACAGCCCACCAGTTGAGAACCAAGGCTTTAGACAACATGTAAATGCCAGCTTACATAAAACTAATCAGTACATTAATGTTGACAAATGTGATATCACCACTGGGGTGGGTACTGTAATACAACTTCAAGTTTCTGCCATGCGAGCTAGAACAGGAAATAAGCCTGTGTTTGGCAAACATACATTTTACTGAAGTTTTCAGAAAAAATGTAGCTTATGAGAAAAGTTTATTCTACAAGTCTCCAGTCTCCTCACAATGCCGTAGTAGATTTTCTCTATTCTTTGGGCTTTTATTCCCTGCCATTAACATTAAAATTTGGTTCCTCAGATATAAAATCCCTTGCAAAAATTACTTTACCCTCCCAGGATTTAAATGTTTGACTGCAGTTCACAGCAAAATGTATTTTACTTAAACGGAACTGACTGCACATCTCCAGACAGTGAATATGCCACACTTGGCTGTAAATTGTTTTCTGGCACCAGAACAATCTTTTGCATTATTTAAGCTGCAAGTATAATTTGGGATCAAAGCGGCATAACAGATATTAAATATTAAATAGCAAAAACAAAATCTGTTATCCCAGGCTTACTCGTTAAGTGTTGCTACTAGACTACATTTTGTTTTCGGTTTATCACACTATACGAAAAAACATTTACTCACAAGCACGATGATGATGCTTAAGTACCAGAACCCAGATGGGCTCCCTAAAACAAGCCTGTGTACATGTGTCATATCACCCCCCAAAAAACATATCAACCCCCTAGCTGCATGTGAGGCACTACCTCCAGTGCCACATCTTACCTCCAAGGTAATCCATGTCACAGAAACCTGCTGAAATCCACAAATTTTGGGCATGGGGAAAACATGCTTACTCTGTCCCCCATCTGACAATATAGTGATCTTTGCTTAAATGATCTATTGACGGGACCAATGTCACAGTGGAGGCAATGTGCCTACACTTTTATAGAACCTTTGGCTGGCCACCGTGGTGTGGAATGGAGGTGGGCAGTAAAATTATATTAAACATTTTATTTTTAGGAGCTGCAGCTCCTATGCAGCTACAGAGGTTTATTTTATTATTATGATTTATCACCTGTGTTCTTGAAAGTTGCATAATAAAAGAGAATTAAAATACATTTTTGCAGTTACCAGTGTTTCTTTTCATTGAATGAACTTACTACACCATAAAAGTGTGCAAAAATGACCCTTTATTACCATCTGATTGGTAAAATATGGAATGTCAATAAACAGGTTACCAGGAGGACTCTAGCTAAAAATACTGTATATTTCTTTCTATTTTACTTTGCATTGTAGTTAATGAGTACAGGAGCCAAAGTCAGTCCTATTCCTGCTAAATTAGGAAGGCTGCACAAAAATGATCATGATACTGTGCTGGACAAGTGGAAAAGCCTTGTGCACTTTATAACCATCAGAGCTGTATTTACTCTCTCTGCTGCAGCATCGCTAAAATCACATGTACAAAACAAGCGACAGCTTCCCCGCTGAACATTTAGCTCTGCTTGCCCAAAACAGGGCTAAATGTAGAAAACAACTACCTGCCCGGACCTGCATGTCCCGGGGATCGGGAGATAGGAATTCCACACTCCTGCTGCCCCTCTACTCCCTGCTGCCCCAAGGCCGGGCCTTGGTTGGCCTTGTGGGAAATACGGCCCTGATAACCAGGCTGTGTATTTTGGACCCCTTCATCTTGAAACATGATCCAGACAGGAATATGGGTTGGTATCATCATTATAAACGGTGGAATTCCTATACCCAAACAGCAGTATGCTTTCTGGTCTTCTTGATATAGGAATACCAGCTGTATGCTTGGCGAGTTGGGTTGCTATCTTGGGAAGTGGGCAAACACATTTTGTTTTTTTGTAAATGGCCTAAAAAATTTTAATTAAAAAAAAAGTGGATCAAAAAGTGAAGAAAATAACTGTGGGAACAAGGAAGATTTAATCTAATTTTAGTCAATCCCACCCAACCTACTTGTATATTTACATGTTATTAAAACCTAATGTACCTTTGTAAAATAAAGAAATAAATAGAACAACCTGGTGTGCATAAAAAGAGTTTCTTTAAATTTCCTACTTTTCCTTCTATTTTTGGCTCCGTAGCCCGAGAGTGACAATCTCTGCTGCAGGCTGAGGATAAAAACCACTGCCCTTTGTGTGAGAGCTGCGATGAATCTCCAGCGGCCTGTCCCATTCCCTGCATGGTCACAACTACTTCTCTTCATTCAGCATGGAGTGTGAGCATCACTGATGGAATTAGGAAGTGTGGCTAGGTGACGGTATCTCTGGAGTCCCGGAGAAAATTAAGGGAGAAGAAGCGTTCACACACAACTGCAAAATCACATTATACAACTAAGTATTTGAGAATCTCAAAGTTTGAAATCTTACTTGTGTTTCAGTATTTATTTCCCTCTGGAGGGGGAGATTTACTCTTCTACTGATGCCTGTCGACAAGCATTGGGATTTGCTGAAAAGACAAGTATATGAAGAATAGGTTAGATTTAAATGTTATTCAATACAATTTTATTCTGTGCAATACTAGTATCAAAAAATTCTGGGTGGCATGAGACTTGCAAGTTAACTAGACTAGACTTCTAAAGGGAATAGATGAAGTTTATAAAATGTAAAAAAATGTCTTCTGTGATTCAAGCAAAAAATACAAAACTGGCAACCAAAATAAACAATATATCAT